CACACACACACACACACACACACACACACACACACACACACACACACACACACACAGATATATAAGTACTGTATACCATATACATAAACAAGTAATTACTGTTTATTAATGTAAAAAATCATTTAAATAAATGCTTTATAATAAACAGTAATTTTCACAGCCAAAAATGTTTGTGGTATTGGATCATAAAAGCTGACAGTGTGTGCCTCTGAGTGGAGGTTTAACAAAAAAAAAAAAAAAAAAAAAACCTTCAACTCAATAATAAGTTTTTAAAGGATAACCAAAAACTGTAGAACAATTGAAACAAGAAAGTAAAATTGTTGTCAGCAAATAAATTTTGGTACTTCAACTAAATAAAATAATAATAATAAAATAAAATCTTAATAGAGCCTTGTCCAAAACATACATTAAATTCCTGTCATCTGCTGTGGTCATTCCATGACCTACACTATAATCAAGTGGAGATGAGGTTAAAATATAACTGTGTTTGCTGCCTTCAGGCAGTAAAATCTGAAAAAACTACGATAACATCTCAGTAAAATCAACAAACATAAAACTTTTTGTAAAGAGATATGTTTCCAATGAGCAATAAATTTTTTCAGAAGGTTTTATACCCAAATCAGTACTTAACTTGTTTATATAATAGAAATACCATCGATTTGAATCATTTCATTTGTGCTAACTGCATAAAAAGATCCACACACGATGAGGAAATATTTAAACGTAGCACCGCTCGTGTGCAGTGAAATTGATTGGAAATGTCAATGTACTTGTAAAAGTGACCCATGAGATCTTTTAATTCTGCGTCTTTGTACAACAGGAGAACGAACAGGAAGAGTTGACCATGGAGAATATGTACGCCCTTTCTATCACCACCGAGGACTTGTAACCTGCTGCAACATGAGAAACTAAATATTCTCTTACAACCAACAACTTTCTGCCTCTAAAGCTTGACTCCTTTCTGCCTTTACAACACACCAATTGTATTTTTCATCATTACATTCACAGGTTAAAATGTCCTCATTTTATTTGTGTATAAAGCCACACTTCAACACAGGAAATAAAAAACTTTTCATCTATTCTGCAGCGGTTGTTTTGCCTCACGGAGATTTAATTGTAATCAATTTGTGAAGGCAAAATGGCACAAGGGAAATCAGGTTTTATAGATTTAAAATGCTTTGTTTGGCAATGCAAAATGAGAAGGTAGGAGTAGGTCTTAACACATCAGTGGTGAGAGTGCAGTTTAAATGAGTGTTTTATCTAAATGTGTTTGTGTTTTAAGATTTGTATTTATTTTGTTTGTATGGATAAAAGTGTCATTTTAGTCTGATAGAGGATGTTGCAGATTCTGCATTCCACTTTAAAGTAAAAACAAAATTAGTTTCACTGAAAATCAGTGTCATCTGTATTTTTATTTTTTGTCATGTATGTGCAACATTGTTAAATGACTCACAATAATGGGTTAAAMCTTAATGTGCTGAAATGCTCCTCAGAATCAATGACAGTACAGTACATTAAATATTTACATTCTTTGTTGTGCATTTCATAGAGTACTTTCAAGTTAACRTTGCATTATATTGATGTAATTATGACTGCTGATCATGTCAATGCACTTTACACAAAGCGAGAAATTTATATTAACCTAAACTAGAAATTCTGTAAAATAAAATAATTTAATTGTATTTGTGAAATGAACTGTATGGTGAAATAAAGTKTCTGCATATAAAGGAASTGAATGTTTTTAAAGGGTGCATRCCTTGCTTTTAAACCTTCWTTTTCACATTTAAATCTTTCTGTTGGGGTTTATATAAAGAGGGAACTGTAATGTTTTGGTCTGAACTCATTGCTGTAGCTCCACAGGCCCCTCTTTCACCTCTGTTCTGAGGCGCATTCAAGAGCGACTCGTTTTGACGCTGTCTCTTTAAATGCAAACGAGGCCCTTCGTCCCACTCCAGCCTGTTCAGCCATTTTTGTAGTTTGACAGCAGAGATATGATCAGACACAGAAACGTATTTACAAAAAGATGTCAACAAAATACTTGCTCATCCAGCCTTACATGTTAAGAGTCTRACCCAGAGCAAGAGGATGATGAAGATGAGGAACCTGCAGAAAATCGGTAAGCCGGAAGTCTATGGTTTTGTTTAGCAGTTCTGCAGCAAATTATGTGATGTTATTGTTCAGAAAACAACAGGGACTAGATAAAACTGAACACAAAATAAAGAATTTAATAATCCATGCAGCACTTYGGACGAAATTTAGATTTTCGGCACTCAAGCACACAGCAAAGCATATTTAAGGGCTAAAAAAGTGGATTTTGCATATATACCTTCTATTACCAAACTTAAGATTTTAAGGTCTGATGCACAAACCTTAAACCTATTTCAATTCTAGCTCATTTTATTACAATAAAAAACAAGATTTCTAACTTTACATGTCACATAAGAGAAATATCGTCTCATTTCTTTTATTTAGTAGCATTAAAGAAATATTTCATTAGCATTTAGTTCTGTCAGTCTGGCAAAATCCAACTTACACAACACTACCATTTATAAAACCTCACTTTTGATCTCGGTCACTCTGACCAGCAGGGTCTTAAACACATCAGGGTCCTGATCGCAGACTGCTCAGTTTGACATCTCTGAAAAGATTAAACACAACATGAGTTGGGTATTTTTTTAATGAAGGAGTCATTTCATTCAAACGAATGAAGGCAAAACACAGTTATTAAATGAGGCAATTGCAAAGCAATTATCCAATGTATATTTGAGGAGAGGTTTCAGCTGATGACCAGGCAGTAATCTGACAGTGAGCACTTTGGAAAAGTTATAACCTCCAAGGAGGTTATGTTTTCTGTCGTGTCCGTCTGTCTGTGAGCATTACTCAACAACGGATCGATTGATTTTYATGAATTTTTTACCAMAGGTGGGTATTGGCCAAAGGAACACACCATTAAATTTTGGTGACGATCTGGAATTTTTTGAAGGATTCTTCACAGCGCTCCAAGTGCTTCTATTTCATTGCTCTTTTAGTGCAAAACAAGTACAGAACACCTAATATGATGGAGACACACAGAGTTGATCTAACAAACTCAAACTAGAATCAGGTAATAAATGTCAATTTTACCTGTTAATTAGGTTATCTGTCTTTATTAACAAACGCTCGAGTCTGATTACTGCTGCTGTTCCCCAAACACCCAGTTTAAAAAAGGTAAATACTAAAAAATCCCAAGGGCGACACATTCCAATCCTAATTTGTTGACCGTGTTGTCACACGTTAGCTTTAGTAACAGGCAGGTTTACAAAACTTTATGACGTGAAGATATTCAGGGTTTGGCATTAAAATGTTTTATTCAGATTTGTTCTGTGGAACAGCAGGGAAGAGTCGTTCCAAAGACTGCAGGTCAAAGGCAGGTGATACTGATGCTTCAGTAATCAAAAGCTTGGCTGAAAGTCCGTTTCTGTCCTCCTCTGTTGTTTCCATATCCACCTCTACCTCCACCACCTCGGTGCCCACTGCTACGGAAACCATTTCCTCCAAAACCCCTCCCCCTGCCGCCTCTGGACCCCCCTCTGTTGCCACGGTTGCCGCCGCCAAAACCTCTTTCGCCAAGGTTACCGAGCTGCTTCTCCTCCAGCTCTGGGAGCTCCGTGGCTACAGTCAGCTGCCAGCGGCGGCTGTCCTGCCACTTCTCCTGTGGAAGGAGTATGMAAAGAAAGAAGAGTTTTAGAAGAACTGCAAATTACATTTAAAACATCTCAATCTTTTCAGCATCACTTTCATTTAATCGTTTATTACTGAAGGTATGAAAGATGATGGCTCCTGTTCTCACCTGGATCTCTTTGACTTTATCAGCTGGAACATCAAAACAAACTCCCTATTACAAACAAGAAGAACAAACTGATTAATTCTGTCAGAAGAAAAGATGTCAAACAAGAAGAAAATCTTACATCTTTTTCTCAAATGATTCTAGACCTAATGCARATAATAAAGTTTACAGTATACTGTTATTTTAATTTAAAAAATCATTGCTTTTTTTGGATTTTGTTTAATTTTAAATGTCTCACTGCAACTCTTTTAGACAACTRAACTGTCCTCAGATATGGTCAAGGTTTATATTTGACCCACGTTGTGCACAATCGTGTGTGTACTTACGTTTCTGCCTTTCAGGAAGGTCATCCTGTGAACCTGGTTTTCAAACTCCTCTCCAAGCTGTTCTTTGATGGTTCTCCAAGCGTAACCAAGATTATGCATTTCCTGAGAGCACAGCAGCTGTATAGTGGTGTAACCCTGCAAAAACACATTAAATGTTTGGTAAGAACTGCAACTGTTCATGTAGAAAAGGCACAGATTTGCACTGTTTTATGGGAGCATAGAGGTGCAGGACAAAGTCCTGCAGTCATGATGCTGAGTGGCTGTCGGAGCAATGCTGTGATATGATTTTGCTTCAGTTTTCAAGAAGCCTCTCAAGAATCTAGTAGAGAATCTTCAAAATTATTTGAATAAAAATAAAATAAAATAAAAAGATATGCTTGTTTAATTTGATTGAGTTTTGGTTGGGGGGGGGGTAACTTCGCAAATGTTCAAGAATAAGACGTTCCAGATTTGAAGGGTTAAATAAAAAGGCTTAATATAAAAAAAAGATCTGAAAACTTCCAATACATAAAACAAATACTGCTCAACATCATTGCATTTCTATTGTACAAGTGCAACAATAAGGTGTTGTACATATTAAAAAGGGGGTTACGAGTCTTTGCTTTACTACAGTTATTGTTGTGTTTGTGGTGCAGATGAAGCTTACAGCATCAGAGCTGAGCAGTGATCTCATCTCCAGACTTGTGGCTCCAGAAATATGGGCCAGAGCAGCAGCCAGTGCATCTACTGCTCCTCTCTCTTCAATCAGCTTCTCAGCCGATTGTCTGAAGTAGTCAATAGCTGTGACTGGAACAGAGTCTAGGTACCTGGATGCAACAACAAATAAAAAGTGGGGGGAAAAAACAGTTAAAAAAGAAAATGTTTGTCACYGACTAATATATATGATGACCTAGAAATAATCACAAACGACATTATGAAAAACAAACGTGCATTAAAGGCTGAAGATTTACAAACAGAAATAAATAAAACATGTTTAACAAGTTTCTTACTTGACTGCATCTTTGCTCGATGACTTGATGATTTCATTTGCGGTTGGAACACCCACTCGCCTGAATGTGATGCCCTGGACAAAATACCAATTCAAATTTATTTTTATCAATGAAAATAAGTGAACAGAACTACAAGCTACAGCGCAAGTTATGCTACTAATCTGCAGAAAACACAAAAAGTAGATGATAAAAAAGTATTTTTTACCTGTGTTGCTGTTTAATAAATGAACAAAATTCAGAGGAAGCTAGATGGAGTCCAGCAATTACAAWTTCTACATTTCTGCTGCTGCTCCACAGATTGTGAGCATACTTGGAGATTTAAAACTCACTAGTATCAGCTCATAATAACCACCAAGCCWAAACACAGGACATAGTAGCAACAGGTCCATAATAAAAAGGAAAAGCTACCCTTCATTAATTCAGTTATTGAATCTCAAAGCTAAAACATGCAAATGAACCAAGAAAAGCTTTGAACTACAAATTTAGGAGCTGGGTTTAAATCCACCATTTTCATTCTGTTAAATTAAATCTAAATAGTATATTAGTATTATTTAGTATTTAGAAAAACACCTACTGCTTTGTGCTCTACGTAACGCAGCAGRTCCTCTTCTCTCCTTTGATAGAAACAGATGCAGACACCGGTCCGGCCTGCGCGGCCTGTTCGTCCTGAACGATGGATGTATGATTCTACGTCCTGACAACAACCGGMCATGTCAAGGTCAAGGCAACAGATTTAAGTTTCACATTCTGAACAACACTGGAAATTAAGCTTGCATCCATTTATTATACTTTTTTTTCCATTACTTTCTAACTGCAGAAATGCTCATTTAATAAAATTGTATGAAATTAATACCTTTATCAAATATCAGAAAACRTTTACAGTATTAATCTAAAGTAAATTAGCAGATAAATATCCTATAACTGTTAAAATAACCGTTAAATAGTAAAAATTACCTTAGGAGGAGAACACTGGACCACCAGGTCTACTTCTGGGATGTCTAATCCACGAGCTGCAACATTTGTGGCAACCAGAACTTCAAAGGCTCCATTCCTGAAGCCCTTCAGGGTCACCTCCCTCTGTTTCTGTGGAATATCYCCATGAAGGGACTGGGCATTCTAAAAACATTGCAATAAAATAAAATTAAAAAAAGAAGTGAACAATAAAATAATGACAACATCTATGATTTAAAACTTGAACACTGTTGGGGTGAAGTTATGTGWTACAAGAAATGTAACCAATCCTTGCAAAACGAGTCACAATGAGGAATTGTTTGATATAAAGTAGTTATTACTCACAAATTCCCTAAAAATATGGTGATAATTACCTGGCTATGAACAAGCTCATTTGTTTACAAGAGTGCACGTTAAAAAAATTAATAAATTTTTATTGGTCTGGGATGCTCACTCTGACTTCTGCCAACACAGGTCATAAATATTTATCGCTTTACAAACTGAAGATTAAAACGTGACGTGAACTGGCTATTTATTGCGTTGTACTGTGCTGTAATATGTATTTGAAGGTGTGTTTATACCTGTTTAATGGATTCATTCAAGGAAAGTTCAGTGGCCTCTTTTTTTGTCTCACAGAAGACGATGGTCTTGCCGTGGCTGCCGCTGTAAACCTGGATCACATCTCCAATCACTGCTGCACGCTGGGACCAGTGACAGGCTATGGCCAGATGCTACAGAAGATAGGAATGAAAAATAGAAAGTGAACAAACGAACCAAAAAAAATGTCTTTTTTTTGTTCAACTAGTCTGATTTTTATTGGTACTACATTTAAATAATACTTGTTTGAATGATGTCAAACAGCCAATTTGATGGCTAAAKCATTAGTGGTAACATTTCTGAGCTGCACCCCCTCCATACCCTGTTCTTCTTCTTCTTCCACTTACTTCGACGGTTGTTGCAGCTTTTTGTGTTTTCTTGCCAATCAAGTCAATATGCTTGCACCCAGGTCTCATGTATTTCTTGGCCACATCATACACCCAGGGGGGGCAGGTGGCCGAAAACAGAAGAGTCTGTGGGTTAGCGGTGCCGTCTAAAAAGGAGAGACACAAGCCGACCTTAATAACTTTAAACAAATAACCACTAAACCAATCATTTAATCCACTTATACCTGTGTGTGACTACCAAACCAAAAATACTGTATACATAGATATATAGGCTCTACTCTCACTACTATATTTGTTGATGTTATTTACCTTTCTTGTACGATGAACTCAAAATCTCTTCAACTTGTTCTGCAAATCCCATGTCCAACATTTGGTCTACTTCATCCAGAACGACGTGATTTAATTCAGAGAGGTTGAGTTTATTGTTCTGGAGGTGATCTTTAATCCGACCAGGAGTTCCAACCAAAATATCAATTCCACTGCGTATGGAATCGACTAAAGAGAAATAGACAAGAATTATTATTAAAGGAAGAAATACTCAGTTATTTGTGACAAACTATTATAGACAGATATTTACAGCCAACTGAGCTCATTAAAAACTAATTTAACTGAAACGTTTTCATGGATTTTTTTGTGTAGGACTTACTTTGAGGTTTGTATGAGCTGCCTCCATAAAAACAGCATATGGTCAGTCTCTTGATGATGTCTTTGAAGTCCTTTGCGACCTGGATAGCCAACTCTCTGGTAGGAGTCAGCACCAGTACCTACAGAGACACAAACAAACAAAAAAAGAAAGAAAGCCCCTTAAAACCACTGACAAACCCAACTGTGAGACCCTGAGTGGTGCCGTCTTAAGAGTAATRGGTTAGTACCTTAGGAGGCCGGCCTCTGCTCCTCACTCCTGAATCTTTCTGGAGCTTTTCCACCAACGGTATGGCGAAGGARAAAGTCTTTCCTGTTCCTGTGCGGGCTTGTGCAATTACATCCTCTCCGTCATATACAGGATTAAATGYCTTTACCTGAATGTCAAACAAGTAGGTGACTCCCCGAGCTGAAGGAGAGAGGGAAAGGTAACAAAATGAGTTCTCTAGCAAACCCTAAAAAAAAAAAAAACCTAAAACTTGTGTAGCACTGTGAAGGACACTTCCAAGACACATTAAGTCGACTGATTCAAAATATTTTTTCATGCTATAACAAAACGTAGGTGCAAAGATAGATGGTCCCTTTTTATACAAGATATGAAATCAACTCAGTCATGCTTATTTTATTTGATGGTCAACGCAGTGCAACTCTTATTCTAGCTAAAAAAAAGTACCAAAATTGGAACGAATTGGAAAAAACATGTTTGAGAGAAGGTTGTGTCAAATTAGCTTACAACCTAAGAATTTAAAGTGGGGCAATATAAACTTGTTTAACTTTCACTTGTTTATTCACATCATTCATATCAGAGACTTTGTTGAGAGTTAAAAATATTAAAACATTACACATTTAAAGGTGGTTTATGTGTTAAAGCTGTTTTCTTTCTCAAACCCTAGTTCTAAACGGGGAAAAAAAATTACAATATTCCGTAAATGTGATGTTTACCTTTCAGTTTGTCGATGGTGACTTGAGAGATTCTGAAGTTGGAGAACGCCCCTTCTCTCTGCTCAGGTGTCAGCTCCTAAATAAGAAACAAATGTAATCAATACTTCTCTCTCTGCTCGCACCCAGGTCTCGTCTCATCCACAGAACAGATGTAAACCTTTGTCGCAATCATTCAKTCAAAAATTACAAGACATCTCATTTACATAAACATTCCATTTTGTCTATTACATATCGTCTTGTCTTACATTTTCTCGTTCACTGTCACTGGCTGAGTCATCACTGGACTGGGATGGTGTCTGGATTGGGGTTTGAGCTGGTGTGTTMGGGGTGGAATGTTCATTGATTGTAGCCTCGGTGTCTGCCTTCTTTTGTTTCTTGGTTTTCTAGAGCCCCAAGAGAAATAAATTTATGTTACATTAAGAGGCATTAGAAAGATGCTCAAGACAGAGAGTACATTATTTCAGTTTTAATATGGCTACAACTTTACTTTTGATTCTAATCATCACAATCATCATAGTGTTAGTGTATAAAAMGTATAAACAAAACCCACTCTGTAACCTATAATTCAGATGAACACGACACTTACATCATTTGCTTCCTTTTTCTTCTTGGTTTTCTGCTTTGGAGTCTCAACACCATTGCAGTTCCCATTCATGTCAGTGGTCTCATCTATGTGGCCATTGACTTGGTCCGCTGCCAGCTTGTCTTTTTTCTTTTTCTTTTTCGGTGCAGGAGGGTCACAGCCTGCATCTTCCTGCTCTTCAAGCTCCTGCTGCTGTTTCTTTTTCCTGCCCTCCTTCTTGGTCTTGTTCTTTATCTGGAAGTGTTGGGGGCGGGGCGGGGGGTATTTACACAACTATTAACTTATCATCAAACAGGATATCGGATTATTATTTTCTAATTTTGCTATTATCACTTTTTTGCAACATTTACCTCCATATTATCTTTATTAATTTGTAAATGTATGAACAAATGCAACTACTAACGCAAAAACAAAACAAACAAAATTACAGTCCTTGTGTTGTCTTTACCGCAAAAACAAAGTTAAAAAAATGTTTTGTCATCCGTTATACAAGACGGACTGTTTTATATAATCATGTTGGCTATGGGCACAGTTTAATTTTAAAACGGATATACGCAAATATAAAATCTATCTTCGGGTTCCATGTTTTATTTATCAGCTGAAGGCCAGACCATATGATCATCTACGTCAGCTAGGCTAACAAGCTAACAGCAAAACATGTGCTAACACCAAATAAGACATGAATTACTGCTCTAAGCTATAGGAAACCAACAGTTGTGTACAATAATTTAGTTGTAAATGTTTATCTTGCTTTTAGTTTCACAGCGACGTGATTGTTTTTAAGGCAGTTTGGCTAGCGCACAGTTTCTGTCRGGTTAGCCCAGGCAGCCACATGTTGTCAAACATGGAGGAGCCGCAACCGGCTGAGAACTTTAAACTCGCGTTTGTGTCCCGTTCGGGTCGGCCCGACTCACAACACTCACCTTTAAGGTCGTAGCCTCCGTCACAGTGTCCACAGCTTCATCCATGAATTGATCCTCGCTTTCAAATTTAATTTTTGACGGCATTACTCAAGACTGATGGAAACCCTCGGCGTGGACACACAGGCTAACCCACGGGCACGCGGATGGAAAGGAACGCGAAAGGCAGTCGCGCGCGATTACGCGTTCACGAGCTTTGGGACACCTTTTTCTTCTTCTTCTTCATATTTTTTTATTGGCAGTTGGCAAACAACTTGTGGTGTGCATTACCGCCACCTACTAGAATGGAGTGTGAGTCAAAATGCTGTATTGTCTGTATTGATTATTACTTTGACTATTTTTGTACTTGTGTTTGTTAAATTCTTTTCCTTACTTACTTAAAAAACGTATAATAATATTCTGTTAACTAACTTTGTTTTCTTGAAGAATATAATTAAAAGTTAATTATTTTGCTTCCTGAATCTTTCTGTAATAAATTTGATAAATTGAATGTTTCTTTAATTGTTCTAAATTCCTCCATCATGTCTCTTCTCTGTCTCTCATATCTTTTACTATTATATGTTCTATTGTTTCTATCATTCCACAATGTTGGCTGTTTCCATCTTCATGTTTTTTTATTATAAAGAGAGTAAGTCCAGTGTGTCCCATTCTCAATCTAATTAATAATCTCTCTTCCTTTCTGTTTCTCCTAGTTACTCTCATTTCTCCCACTTTCCTTTGGATCTTACAAAACCATCTTCCTTTGTTTTCTTCTCTCTGCCACTTTTCCTTGATTTTTTGTTTGACCAAACATTTTGCCTCAGATTTACTTATATTGATTGTGAAGTTGATTTGTCCTGTTGTTGCCCTTTTTGTTGCCCTATCTGCTGCTTCATTTCCCTCCACCCCAACGTGTGCTGGTACCCATATGAAATGTGAATGTTATTTCTAACATCATCTGTATTCTGAATAATGTTTGCTGTATTTCTAATCATATGTCCGGTCTGCTTTCTGAATGGCTGCTCTGTAAATTACAAGTGCTGAGCTTGAATCTGAACAGATTAATGTTCTTAATGGTACCTCCTCTACCCACTGTACTGCTAATAATATTGCTGACATTTCCTCGGTGTATACTGACTGTCCATTTGTGATTCTTTTAGCTTGTTTTATATGAATTTCTGGTATTATTATTATTGCTATTCCTATTTTACCTGTTGAGTCTTTTGATGCATCAGTATAAATTTGAACATAACTATTGATCTATATGTTTCTGAAKAGTTAAAAATTAATCCTTTATCRTTTTTTTCCTTCATTATTGTAAAATCAACTTTTGCATTTGGTAATATCACGGTGGTATTGTTGGTAATGGTACTGGACTTATTGATATGTTGATTAATTTAATCTCTTCTACATTTTTTTTTCAATCACCCACCCAAAGCTTCTATTTAATTTATTTTTTCTCTTTTTCCCAACATGGTTTTAAAATATCTAATGTTGGATGATCCAGGTTAGCACAAAGAGAATCGCTAAAATGAGTGTTTAGTGACATTACATGTATCTGGATGATGAGCTAAACTCTGCGAGAAAATATCCTCCTCTCTTTTTTTATTTTTTTATTTTTTTAACTTATTTTCATATAAATAATCCATCCAGACGAGGGCAGTAGTGCGTGTCCAATCAACGATCCAGCTGCCTTTAAAACAAACAGAAGAAGGATTTGCGACAGTATCGTAAAGCGCTGATGTTTTCGTTAGTTGGGAATTTGACCAGTCGTCCTCTGAGCTTACGGCATACAGTCGCCCTTTWGTCATCTAAGTTTTATTCTTCTCTAAAACGAATATTAGCTTAACTGTAATAAACTATGGCAGGAACACTTGCACGTAAAGCTATTGACTACCTTAGGAGCAAAGAGTTCAGGGATTATTTGATGAGGTACGTATGAAGGCTACCACCAGAATGCTCGTGACGCTACCGGTTATATTTTCTGTTCTGTTTTATCTTCATTCTAATTCAATTACYTTACATAATTATGCACTTTTGTGTTTGCGTTTGGTTACGGTTTTTGTAATCCGAGTCTAATCTCTGCAGATTTTCAAGGACGCCATATTGTACTCTCTGTACCTTGTTGAACTTGTTTGTTTAGAAAATGTAAAGGRCAGGGAGTCTGTGGAGAAATTCTTMACTTTTTTTAACCTATTCTCAGTTATATTAAAAATGTATTTCAAAACAATTAGCTAACTTAAAGTGCGTCATAGCCTCTTTGGATAAAAACTATACGTCTAAAAACAATTGTGTTCTTGATGGTGCCCTTCAGTATAATCTGACTTCATATTAATTTGTAAGCTGATAGAAAACTATGTTGCTTCTTAGCATATTGTCATTTGTTAATGTRGACTTGTTGCGATGACAAGCTACGTACGTACCTAAAATCTGGAGTAAAGGGGGAAAATAGGACATTTGTGATGCAAGAAGTGGTCTTTGTTTGTTTTTGATACGCAACATGATGCTTGTTTTGTGATGAAAGGTTTTGTTAATAAAGTTTCAAAAGACCAAAGTGGTTTGGAAATTATAACTTTCCCAACTTATCGTGTAATTCAATACAATTCTAATATATCTTATGTCTTATATACATTGTGTAACCACTTGATGTAATCAAGGGCTTATGTTTTGTTTCTTTTTGTTATTAATGAATTTCCTCTTGACACATTTTCTCACGTTATTTTTATTTGCTGTGAGCTTGCTGGATTTTGCAATCCTTAACTGTTGTGTTTTTTTCTCTTCTTTGTGGCGCCAAACATGAAAATATACATATGAAACAGCACGGTACGTCCTAATTCTATCCTATCTTTCTTTCTTTTTTTGTAATTAGTCTTTCACAAGTAGTGGTATTCTTTAACAGAACTGTAATTATATCAAATWATTATTATTTTTTGTATCATGTTTAAATGTGTGAATCACGACATAATGTTTTGTGATATTGTACCGTGAAACTTATACTTCTGTTCTACTTTTGCAGCATTTCTGGGGTCCAGTAGCAAACTGGGGTCTTCCAATTGCTGCCATCTCAGATATGAAGAAGAGCCCTGAAATTATCAGTGGCAGAATGACCTTTGGTAAGGCAAATAAACGCACAAACAGATCCAATCAGATGCACACAGGATTGCTCACCTTGAAATATTACATTTTGAACAGACTGAAACAAGTCCAGTTTWAGGGAAATAACTGTGATCTATTTTGTTTTAATACAAAACATCACATTGTTTACAAAAAAACCTTGGTACAGTCAATTAAATGTGATCTTGAGAAGGTTGTCTGACAGGTTTATTATTACACAAAAAAGCTTTAGTAAACTGTATGTGCCAAAAAAAGAAAAGAAAAGCAGTACCGTACTTATAAACCTTTCCTTGTGTTTTATTTTCCTCCTCCCAGCTCTGTGCTGTTACTCACTGCTCTTCATGAGGTTCGCCTACAAGGTTCAGCCACGTAACTGGCTTCTGTTCGCTTGCCATATTACCAATGAATCAGCACAACTAATCCAGGGAACTCGACTCATCAAATACAAGTGAGAGTTGCTCTGTTTTATATTTCTAATGTTACTGTAAAAAAATCTGTTTCAATAAAATGCTGCATGGGAAAATAATTCCCACTTCTTCAGAGTTGTAAATATGGCTTACTGTTTTAATTATTTGTTTAGAGGAATAGTAAGACGGTTGTTGACAGTTTTCTATTCTATTTTTACCAAAACARTTATATTRAATCATGTGTCAAACTCAAGGCCTGCAGGCCAAATGTGGCCAGTCATGTCCGTTTTAGAGCTTCAAAGATGTATTAATGTCTTAAAATGAGTGCATGCTACTTTTAAGCCAGCGTTGACGATAAAAAAATAATGCATGTCAACTGTTTAACCTGCAAAATGACGTCTGAAGTTTTGCCAACTATTTTTGCTACAGCCTTGTTTTACTGGAAATGTATGACTTGTAACTGGGAAGTGAGAGTTTCTAGTTGCAGGTAATACATAAGTGGACAAGTAATAATAACTGAAACACCCCTGCAATGGGAATTCCYTGTCAGAAAATGGAAGTAACTCTGACTACCCAAGTTCAAAATTCAAGTTAATTCAATTCACCACAACTCATCATTGAGTAAAGCTGTTACTTGTACGTTTGCTAGTTTTTCATATGTGTAGTACTTTTCAGTGTTTATAAGAGGACATGTTAAAATGCTGTTTCAATGCACAAAATACCACACAGAGCTCAGTTATTGTTAGTAATGCTCAGCTGTMGCAGTGAGACAAATCATGACATTTCGTGTTTAGTCAAAGTCAAACACGACACCACTGTATTAATGTATTTTTTATTGTGAAAAAAGCAATTGAAATCTTAAAATGTATTGTTGTTTTTTTTGTTTTGTTTCAGTCTAGAGAAGAAGTCATCTTAGTGATGGAAGGATATGGACAACTGCAGAATTCTCCTTCTTCTATAATCTACAAAATCTAAGCAATGGAGCTCACTCATCTAAACATTTGACAAGCACTAAAATTGTTACACCTAACAGGTTTTTTTTAAATGAAAATGCCATGAAATGGATCACTGTTAAGTTTTAGCCTCTTTAGTTACACAGAAGATAAAAATCTTGAGCGTCTCTTCAATAAACTTGATCGCTGTGATTTTATTTAGATTTGTTCTTGTGACAAAATGTAAATTGTGCAAGCCAGAGCAACAGATGCCTTGTGTACAGGTCAGCAGCTGTTCTACACTTTGAAAAAAGATTCATTTGTTCTTTGTGAATCATATCATTAAAGGTCATCAGCACTGATTTTTGATTCCATCATATCATGCTGTGAAATTTGTATTTCAGACAAACATTACAATTTTTATGAAACAGTTTTTTGTGTTTATAAGAGGACATGTTAAAATGCTGTTTTATGCACAAAAACAAGACATTGTGTATACATGAATAAGGCTTCAGTTTGGCATCTAAATTGCTGTAAGGGGTGATGAAAGTTAAAACTGATATTTTTGAGCAAATAAATCCCTCTTTTGATATATATATATATACACACACATAAATAACGTGGAGTGAGACGTGGGGCTGCAGTCTGTATTCAAATGAAAGCCCTGACGGTGACATCAC